CGACATGAGGGTGAGTAATTAATGACAGAATTTACGTTTTTGGGTGAGCTATCCCTTTAAGTCCTCAACGTCCAATGGCAATGTAAAATGTATAATCAGTTGTTAAAAGAAGACGAGTTCATGAATGTTAAAGGACAAAGAAAAGTCTTCAAAAAAGAAATACTTACAGCTGCCATTGAATTGAGCTGGTCAATGTAGTACTCTGGCCAGCTAGTAGCACCTTTATTCTCCTCTTGCTCCTGAGAGAAATAAAAAAAATGGATTAAAAGGCACAGAATTAACAAACTTTACCTTTAAATTCTATCTTCGAGACATTAGTTTAAGCATGTCAGCATGAGTATATAAAAAAAACAAACATAAACACAGCTCTTGTTTTCACTTCAAGCACGCGTCATTAATCCACGCTGCCCTCTGCATGATGCCGGGACACGAGATGTGTGTACACACCGATCAGAGCCCACACAACAGGAACATGACACTGGGAATAGAGGAATGTGAAACAACATATTGGGAATGAGCTGGAAAGGAATGTGTGGTTTCGGAATGTTATTGGGAATGACATAATTTGGAACCTTCGGTGGGAATGAGACGTTCCCGAGTCCGCAGCTATAAAACATGATCTTTATCTTGAAAAGATCTTATTTTGATACCGGCCAGTTGTGTGAAACCAAATATTCAGCTGACAAAAGCGTGAATTGGCTTATCTGCGAGGCATTTATTTACTCTGTCGCTCATTTTGCCCTTTAATCTGTTTTTTCATATTATTTCTTAGAAGTTTGATAGAGCTGGGATTTATTTCATATCTCATAATTCACTTGAGTAACATTTATTACTTACAGGTAACCAAAGCAAATCAAACATGCAATAAGATTCACACTGCCTGTTCCCAGGTGAACATCACATGTACACACTTTCCCAAACATACAGACTCAGAAAAAGCAGATTTGAAACAGAACATCATGCTCAAAGCGCTGGCAGAAATAGCACACGCTTTAAGTAGGCCAGCAGAGATTCACAGACACTAGAGAAACAACACGGATCCCAGATTGAGCCAATGCCGCATTAGCACAGCTCTGAAGAGCTGAAAATGCAGTAGGATTCAGAAGACAAAAAGGAAAGCAGGGAGCTACATAGGAATTAATGAATCAAAACCGAGTGGAACTTGTGAAGTGTGTCGACTTCCTTCTCAAAACAAGCACAGGCTGCCCGCACGGCCACTAATAGGGAGTTTAATTGTAGCTTATGTTCACCGAACACACAAGGAAAAAATCTGGCATAGCAATGAGCTCCTTTGCAGCAACTGCGTGGGATGTTTCGCACCCGGCTCTGCCAAGCCTTTTGGGAGATGATGGCATCTCACAAATGGGCATCTGTTTGGACGAGTGGGGAGTTTTGGATGCCGGCCTGAGACCCCTGATCTTCCACCGTCCTGCATATTTCTTCTCAACTCCCCTCTCACCATTTGGCCTTAATGAGTAAAGCATTAATGTGGATCTCTGGCAGGACTCATTCTCATGCTGTGGAAGGACTTTCCTCTGCTCTTATCCCATGAGCACTTAATTCTCAGACAGACATGTCATAACGACTGTTGATATTGTTGGTTGTGGTTGGTTTGGAGAGACGCTCTTTCTAGGAACCAGCCGTGCTTCAATGTGTTCAGTTCAGATAAAAGGACACCGGGCGGAGCCGTACCGTGCCGTACCATGCAGTGGAAAAGCACCAAAAGAGGGCTGGAGTGCTTTGACCCGAGCCCTGCAGAGGTCAGTGCTGATGACCTGTGACCCCAGGATCAAATAGTGAATTCAGGAACCACTAATCAAACGCATGTGTTTGTGAGCATGTGTGTGATGAAAGTAATCTCATTTGCATAATGAGACCCAAAGCCCACACCATAAGGGAAGCGTTTGTTTAATAACAGAGTGAGGTGCTTGTCAATGGGAAAATCATCGGCATGTTAAACTATTGCTCTGAGACAGCTGTCCTCATCTTCAAGTAAAAGCAATAATGTAAGCTAAGGTTTTTTTGTTTGTTTGTTTGTTTGTTATTTTAATTTTAGTGAGCAAATATGGACATTTGAGATATAAAGTGAACCAAAAAATAAATGTTTTATAATATTATTACAATGTAAAAATTACTGTTTTATATTTTTCTGTTTACAAAATAGGTCTCTTATGCTCACCAAGGCTTTATTTTGTTTTACAGTAAAGACAGTAATATTGTGTAATATTATTACAATTCAAAATAACTTTTTCTATTTTAATAAATTTTTAAATGTAATATGTGATGGCAAAGCTGAATTTTTATTTCTCCTGTCTTCAGTGTCACATGACTCTCAGAAATTATTCCAATATGCTGATTTGTTGCTTAAGGAACATTTATTATTATTATCAATGTTGAAAACCATTGTGCTGCTTAACATTTTTTGTGGAAACAATTTTTTTCAGGACTGATGAATAGAATGTTCAAAATGTATTTTAAATCGAAATATTATATCTTTAATATTGTAATATTATAAATGTCTTCACGGTCACTTTTGATCAATTGAATTCATCCTTGCTGAATAAAATCATTAAATAAAAGTAAAATTTGAACAGTAGCATAAACACTTAAAACCACATTTAAAATCCTCTGAGTATCTTGATATATACTTCCCTTTAATCTGTTTTTTCATATTATTTCTTAGAAGTTTGATAGAGCTGGGATTTATTTCATATCTCATAATTCACTTGAGTAACATTTATTACTTACAGGTAACCAAAGCAAATCAAACATGCAATAAGATTCACACTGCCTGTTCCCAGGTGAACATCACATGTACACACTTTCCCAAACATACAGACTCAGAAAAAGCAGATTTGAAACAGAACATCATGCTCAAAGCGCTGGCAGAAATAGCACACGCTTTAAGTAGGCCAGCAGAGATTCACAGACACTAGAGAAACAACACGGATCCCAGATTGAGCCAATGCCGCATTAGCACAGCTCTGAAGAGCTGAAAATGCAGTAGGATTCAGAAGACAAAAAGGAAAGCAGGGAGCTACATAGGAATTAATGAATCAAAACCGAGTGGAACTTGTGAAGTGTGTCGACTTCCTTCTCAAAACAAGCACAGGCTGCCCGCACGGCCACTAATAGGGAGTTTAATTGTAGCTTATGTTCACCGAACACACAGGAAAGGAAAAAATCTGGCATAGCAATGAGCTCCTTTGCAGCAACTGCGTGGGATGTTTCGCACCCGGCTCTGCCAAGCCTTTTGGGAGATGATGGCATCTCACAAATGGGCATCTGTTTGGACGAGTGGGGAGTTTTGGATGCCGGCCTGAGACCCCTGATCTTCCACCGTCCTGCATATTTCTTCTCAACTCCCCTCTCACCATTTGGCCTTAATGAGTAAAGCATTAATGTGGATCTCTGGCAGGACTCATTCTCATGCTGTGGAAGGACTTTCCTCTGCTCTTATCCCATGAGCACTTAATTCTCAGACAGACATGTCATAACGACTGTTGATATTGTTGGTTGTGGTTGGTTTGGAGAGACGCTCTTTCTAGGAACCAGCCGTGCTTCAATGTGTTCAGTTCAGATAATTACAATTTCAAGAAATCAGTTCACAGGAAGATGAATCAGCCCAAAGATCTGCAAATACCTAACTGACAAGTATCAACAAGCAGTTTAAAGCTCTTTTTTTAAATAACCACCAAAAATGAGCTGAACAATCTCAATTGTTGCATAGGAGTCAAGTGAGACTAGCCAGCATATTTTCAAATATCACACAAAAAATGCTGGATAGAAACAAATAGATAAAGGCCTATTCACACCAAAAAGAATGTTCTGTTTGAAAATTCAGTGTGATTTTCGTACATGATTTGTCTGTTCAGAACAATGTGCAAAAAACAGCAGACAAGCTGAATGAAAATGCAATTTCACTTTCTGAAAACAGGTTGCTTTTTTAAGCAGAAATACCCTGGTTACCCTGGTACACAGAGCAGCACTGCACAATTTTCTATTTCAGACACTCGCTTGTCATGGAGAAGAGAGGAAGTCACACAGCATTTTCGTGATTTCAAACCGCCAGTCAAATTTCTGTATTCGTTATGATGTTTATCAAACAACACCTAATACAAGAGTACAGAAACAAGATTCCAGATTCTTTCTCTGCTACTCACTGTCGTTTAGCAAAATAGTTGTCATTTTACAGCAGTGGCTCTAGGCATGTGACCAAAACTGCATTTCTTTTTTTTTTTGGACAGTTTTTTTGCAGTGCGATGGAAAAGAGTTTAGAAATTAAAAACCTTGTTGTAAAAACTCTCTTTGATGGAATGCAAAATCCATTCATTCAAATTCAAATGTTTATCACACTGAATGTTCACGCTAGAATTTGTGTACAAAAAATTTCTATGGACACTACAATGCTCACAATATGACATCTCGTTCACTGGCATCTTTAAAAAAAAAACAATTCTACATATACTACATCATTTTACTTTACTTCACTGCATTGCTCCAATCCTGAAGATTTAAAAAAAAGTTGCATTCCGCTAATACATCATGCCAATTGCCAATCTTGTATTAGACACACATCTTCTTGTCATATGAACACCGAACTTGAACTTTGGAATGCACTGAAATTTAAACGAGCTTACGTCTCCTGTTTCCCACATTCGCAAGTGTATAAGTGGAAGTCAATGGAACAAAAAATGTAGTGTAACTGGCCAAAGACACAAAAAAGCGAAATAAATACCACCAATTCAATTCTTTAAGATAATAAAAATGCTGATTTATTAGCTAATTATTTTTTGCAATATTCAGATTTATGCACTGATTATATTCGTAACTTGTATTGAAACAGTCAATGTTGACTGCAGCGCTCCAGGTCTAATCTTTCACATCTGCCAGACAGCAGCGGGTCAGAGACTCAGTCTGCTCGATTGAACCCACTTGACTAAGTATTTGTTGGCCCACTGCCCAAGAAACTCTGGCAAAAAGCTTGATAGCCCCTGACCTAAAAAAAATGTGTCCAAGCCTCTTCCTCTTCAGCCCAATTCACTGAATGCTTAAGCATTCAGATAGAGAGTGTAAGATTACAATGGCATCAATTTATTTGGTAGAAATCAGAGAGCTCTGATTACAGATGTTTATTTTTCCACAATAGGGACAATTGAGGCAAGTCAGATGAATATCCAGACTGACTATTCTTAACCGTCCTTTGCCAGGAGCAGGACAGCTGATATCATACCTCAAGCTTTGGTCTTGAGCCAGCAGAGCCTGCACACCTGAGCGCACTGAGACATTGAGTTCAGGGCACAGATGAATAATCACTGTGCTCAGCACACCGTATAGAAAGAAACGTCAGCAAAACAGTTTGGGAATCAAACTTAAAATAGCCCTCGCCCTTCACAGGGGTATATATATATAATTTTTTAAAATTATATAAGTGCTCAAATACAAATTTAGGGACTTATATTTTATAAAGACAGAGCGTGTATATCTATTTGTGTTACAATGTGCAGACCTCATTGGTTGTGTCCGCAGTGCCGTTTTCAGGCTTTCAATAGTCTTGTTGCGTTCCTCCTCTTCTTCCTTCTCCAAGGCCAACAGAGTTTTCCTCTGTAAAAGAGATACCATTCTTACACTAGATGCTTACACGTGTTATGTACATTTCTAACCGTGGATATTACATATTATGTGTTTTATAGAGATAGTTCATCCAAATTCTGTCGTTAATTACTCACCCTCATGTTGTTCCAAAGCCGTAAGACCTTCGTAAGATATTTCTTAATTTCTGCTTTTTGACCCTCCACAGGCAGCAAGGGTTCTATCACATTCACTGATGTGACATGGACTATTTTGTCGATGTTCTTGGTACCTTCTGGGCCTTGAACGTGGTAAGACCCTTGCTATGGAGGGTCAGAAATCTCTTGGATTTCATCAAAAATATCTTCATTTGTGTCCTGAAGATGAACGAATGTCTTACGTGTTTATAACGACATGAGGGTGAGTAATTAATGACAGAATTTACATTTTTGGGTGAGCTATCCCTTTAAGTCCTCAACGTCCAATGGCAATGTAAAATGTATAATCAGTTGTTAAAAGAAGACGAGTTCATGAATGTTAAAGGACAAAGAAAAGTCTTCAAAAAAGAAATACTTACAGCTGCCATTGAATTGAGCTGGTCAATGTAGTACTCTGGCCAGCTAGTAGCACCTTTATTCTCCTCTTGCTCCTGAGAGAAATAAAAAAAATGGATTAAAAGGCACAGAATTAACAAACTTTACCTTTAAATTCTATCTTCGAGACATTAGTTTCAGCATGTCAGCATGAGTATATAAAAAACAAACAAACATGGCTCTTGTTTTCACTTCAAGCACACGTCATTAATCCACGCTGCCCTCTGCATGATGCCGGGACACGAGATGTGTGTACACACCGATCAGAGCCCACACAACAGGAACATGACACTGGGAATAGAGGAATGTGAAACAACATATTGGGAATGAGCTGGAAAGGAATGTGTGGTTTCGGAATGTTATTGGGAATGACATAATTTGGAACCTTCGGTGGGAATGAGACGTTCCCGAGTCCGCAGCTATAAAACATGATCTTTATCTTGAAAAGATCTTATTTTGATACCGGCCAGTTGTGTGAAACCAAATATTCAGCTGACAAAAGCGTGAATTGGCTTATCTGCGAGGCATTTATTTACTCTGTCGCTCATTTTGCCCTTTAATCTGTTTTTTCATATTATTTCTTAGAAGTTTGATAGAGCTGGGATTTATTTCATATCTCATAATTCACTTGAGTAACATTTATTACTTACAGGTAACCAAAGCAAATCAAACATGCAATAAGATTCACACTGCCTGTTCCCAGGTGAACATCACATGTACACACTTTCCCAAACATACAGACTCAGAAAAAGCAGATTTGAAACAGAACATCATGCTCAAAGCGCTGGCAGAAATAGCACACGCTTTAAGTAGGCCAGCAGAGATTCACAGACACTAGAGAAACAACACGGATCCCAGATTGAGCCAATGCCGCATTAGCACAGCTCTGAAGAGCTGAAAATGCAGTAGGATTCAGAAGACAAAAAGGAAAGCAGGGAGCTACATAGGAATTAATGAATCAAAACCGAGTGGAACTTGTGAAGTGTGTCGACTTCCTTCTCAAAACAAGCACAGGCTGCCCGCACGGCCACTAATAGGGAGTTTAATTGTAGCTTATGTTCACCGAACACACAAGGAAAAAATCTGGCATAGCAATGAGCTCCTTTGCAGCAACTGCGTGGGATGTTTCGCACCCGGCTCTGCCAAGCCTTTTGGGAGATGATGGCATCTCACAAATGGGCATCTGTTTGGACGAGTGGGGAGTTTTGGATGCCGGCCTGAGACCCCTGATCTTCCACCGTCCTGCATATTTCTTCTCAACTCCCCTCTCACCATTTGGCCTTAATGAGTAAAGCATTAATGTGGATCTCTGGCAGGACTCATTCTCATGCTGTGGAAGGACTTTCCTCTGCTCTTATCCCATGAGCACTTAATTCTCAGACAGACATGTCATAACGACTGTTGATATTGTTGGTTGTGGTTGGTTTGGAGAGACGCTCTTTCTAGGAACCAGCCGTGCTTCAATGTGTTCAGTTCAGATAATTACAATTTCAAGAAATCAGTTCACAGGAAGATGAATCAGCCCAAAGATCTGCAAATACCTAACTGACAAGTATCAACAAGCAGTTTAAAGCTCTTTTTTTAAATAACCACCAAAAATGAGCTGAACAATCTCAATTGTTGCATAGGAGTCAAGTGAGACTAGCCAGCATATTTTCAAATATCACACAAAAAATGCTGGATAGAAACAAATAGATAAAGGCCTATTCACACCAAAAAGAATGTTCTGTTTGAAAATTCAGTGTGATTTTCGTACATGATTTGTCTGTTCAGAACAATGTGCAAAAAACAGCAGACAAGCTGAATGAAAATGCAATTTCACTTTCTGAAAACAGGTTGCTTTTTTAAGCAGAAATACCCTGGTTACCCTGGTACACAGAGCAGCACTGCACAATTTTCTATTTCAGACACTCGCTTGTCATGGAGAAGAGAGGAAGTCACACAGCATTTTCGTGATTTCAAACCGCCAGTCAAATTTCTGTATTCGTTATGATGTTTATCAAACAACACCTAATACAAGAGTACAGAAACAAGATTCCAGATTCTTTCTCTGCTACTCACTGTCGTTTAGCAAAATAGTTGTCATTTTACAGCAGTGGCTCTAGGCATGTGACCAAAACTGCATTTCTTTTTTTTTTTGGACAGTTTTTTTGCAGTGCGATGGAAAAGAGTTTAGAAATTAAAAACCTTGTTGTAAAAACTCTCTTTGATGGAATGCAAAATCCATTCATTCAAATTCAAATGTTTATCACACTGAATGTTCACGCTAGAATTTGTGTACAAAAAATTTCTATGGACACTACAATGCTCACAATATGACATCTCGTTCACTGGCATCTTTAAAAAAAAAACAATTCTACATATACTACATCATTTTACTTTACTTCACTGCATTGCTCCAATCCTGAAGATTTAAAAAAAAGTTGCATTCCGCTAATACATCATGCCAATTGCCAATCTTGTATTAGACACACATCTTCTTGTCATATGAACACCGAACTTGAACTTTGGAATGCACTGAAATTTAAACGAGCTTACGTCTCCTGTTTCCCACATTCGCAAGTGTATAAGTGGAAGTCAATGGAACAAAAAATGTAGTGTAACTGGCCAAAGACACAAAAAAGCGAAATAAATACCACCAATTCAATTCTTTAAGATAATAAAAATGCTGATTTATTAGCTAATTATTTTTTGCAATATTCAGATTTATGCACTGATTATATTCGTAACTTGTATTGAAACAGTCAATGTTGACTGCAGCGCTCCAGGTCTAATCTTTCACATCTGCCAGACAGCAGCGGGTCAGAGACTCAGTCTGCTCGATTGAACCCACTTGACTAAGTATTTGTTGGCCCACTGCCCAAGAAACTCTGGCAAAAAGCTTGATAGCCCCTGACCTAAAAAAAATGTGTCCAAGCCTCTTCCTCTTCAGCCCAATTCACTGAATGCTTAAGCATTCAGATAGAGAGTGTAAGATTACAATGGCATCAATTTATTTGGTAGAAATCAGAGAGCTCTGATTACAGATGTTTATTTTTCCACAATAGGGACAATTGAGGCAAGTCAGCTGAATATCCAGACTGACTATTCTTAACCGTCCTTTGCCAGGAGCAGGACAGCTGATATCATACCTCAAGCTTTGGTCTTGAGCCAGCAGAGCCTGCACACCTGAGCGCACTGAGACATTGAGTTCAGGGCACAGATGAATAATCACTGTGCTCAGCACACCGTATAGAAAGAAACGTCAGCAAAACAGTTTGGGAATCAAACTTAAAATAGCCCTCGCCCTTCACAGGGGTAATAAGAGCACTATACTGTCCTGTTACCCTTACAGAAGAACCAAAGAGGCACAAAAGATGCTTTCATTACTTCAAAAGCCCATATTATAAGCACATTGTGTTTTCCCTGAAGTTCAGTCACAGATATGCGTGACCATTTTTAAGCACTTTTCTGACCCTCAAAATGCACAACTGCACATAAAAAGACTATAAAACTGTTCATACAGTACAGGATTATGCAACTAATCTTAGATATTACTGGCCTTCACATACCATTAGCAGCTTTCAATGCAAAAATAATATATTTAATTTTCAAAAGAGCAAAAAAATCTTTTTATCATTTTATTTCTTCTTTTAGGCCATTTATAAAGTTAGTATAGATTTTTGTGCCAAAAACCGTCAGAACTAAGTTTTTCAAATTCTATCTGACCTTTGAAATTACACAGACATATACAGTATTTGTTTAGATTGTGAAATGAGCAACTGCACATGCTGCTCTCTCGCCTGGGATGCGGGTTTGCCATCTTTAAAATTTGTTTTTTACTGCCCCATTCTGCAATAACTACCTCTTTGCAGAGCCTGCATTTTGTGATAGGTTCATATATCATAAAGTACAATGTGCACAGTTATCTGACCAGATCATCTGACCAAATAAGGTTTTAACTTTAAACTCCAAAGAAACCAATGTAGCTGAGTTTGGAGGATGCCAGTTTATAAGGTCAGCTTGATCTGGTCAAGCAATTAAAAAAAAAAAAAAAAACATTCTTTCCGGATTATTTGATGAATATAAAGTTCAAAAGAACAGCATTTATTTGAAATAAAAGTTGCTTCTATTAATGTCTTTGCTTTAAATGTCACTTTTGATCAATTTAAGGCATACTTCCTGAATACAAGTATTCTTACCGGCTGCAAATGTATTTTTAAGATATTATTCATAAATGAACATATTGCATTAACAGTCCAGCACCTTATAAATATGTGGAAAGAGAATGTAATAAAAGAGATGACTGTTGTGAGTGTTGTTTCCCAGGGTTGAAAGACCTATCAAAAGCCTTGCAGATAACATAATCTGCACCTGCAAATGGAGGCCTTCCTGTTTGCTTTGGACCAACCACTGCTTCCCTTATCCTTCCACCCTCCTATCCCAGACCAAAGCCCTGGGGAAGAGCGCCAAGCCCCTGTTTTACTAGTCCCAGGCTGAGTCTGCATGAATGCTGTTGCACAGCCACGGGCCGTCTCACGACAGACATATTCTTCCTTAATCTCATCCATCCGCTCACCGTCTTAAATCTTTTTCATTGGTTCCATGTGTTGAATCGCGGAGCATGACCTCCTCATGCAAGTAGAGCGAAATTAAATGTGGTTGAAAGACACTTATCAAAACACAGAAACGGCATCCCGATCTGGCCAACCGCGCGCTCTGATACGCTTCCAAAAACGAGGATCAGGTCAGAAAGCAGGTCATTTACGAAACATTTATAAAAAAAAAAAGCTTCTCATCACTAAAACTAGAAGTCAAAAGACAATTTTGAACGCCCTACTTCACGTCATGCCCTCTTTTGGCTCGGTGTCCCATGACAATGAGTAAGTAGGTCCATAATTGGGACACAGCATATATGGCTATACAAGAAAAGATGTCATGGCCAGACAGATGGCCGACCTGTAACCAATACCAGCTTTTGAACCACTACAACTCAAAGATAAGAACATCTAAGAAAATCTCAGTGGGGCGCTTTCTTTTAATGTATCATATTATGGTATATCAAGCGTGGGGAGAT